GAAATTTTGAATCAAACCTATTGTGGAAACGAAAGACCACCCACCCATGAAAAAGATTGAGAGACGGTAAGGTCACAGAGAACGCGCAACGTAGTGACTGTAGGGAGGGTTTGGTTTTATTTCTTGTTCCTGCTTCTTGGCTGGTGGATGGTTGTGTGTTGTTGTGACTCTGAGGTAGTTGTATGCCATTGTCGCGATTGTGAACTGTTTAATTTGGCGTTCCCGGCGAACTTTTTTGCCACTGACGGTAAACACATTGTCAACACCTTTCCTTTCAGAAACCTTTATTTAATCTACGGGGCAGATTGTTCTCTTTCCACTGCCTATTTCTATGGATAGCTGATTTAGTTTGTATTTTTTTAGTACTCCTCACTTATTACCCGCCCAGAGAATTTCGAACTGAAGCTTTTATTTATTCTAGGAGGTAGATTACTTATATGAAAGAGATTAACGTCAGTGTCTATTCTAAGTGACACTAAATCTTAAAACATTAATTTCCTCATAGTCATTAGCGATTACCTGTCTGATATTGCTTTGGAATTTCTAACAAGCACAACTCACTATCTGTCTATATTTGCAGTATGAGCGCTGGTAAAAAAAAAAAGTGCAATGATAACAGCAAAAATTGCAATATGTGCACTGATAAAATTGGTTGCTGAAGACATTAAGTTTATAAGTTCCAGAAATTCATACACAGATGTCCTTAAAAACATATGGCACAGTGGATAAAGGCGTTGGTTAGATCCAGTGACAGGACCCTAAGAGTTCAAGACAGTGAAGAACTTGGAGAGGTGAACTGACATCCATTAGACATGGCACGTGGAACTAGAACAGTCTACCCCAGCGAGCGAAATAAAGGGCTCAGTTCGATATTCCATCCACCTGACGAAGGCCGGAGTGTACAACGTCTGAAACGTTGTAATAAATATGGCGACAAAGATGAGGACAATAGTCCAAATAATGTAAATAAAGCACAACTCAGTCAAAATTGATATGTATTTCTATATTAAGTCATTCAAAAACAAATGACGTCATGAGTCGTCTGCTCTCCTGGAAACATAACGTATATTTTTATAATTGAACTTTGCCGATTGCAAAAGATTTTACTCGCTATTTCTCGGTGAAAATCTATCTTTGAATTTTTCCGTTTTTGATCAAATGTGTTTTTGATAAAAATGCTAAATATCAAATCTGCAGTTGAATAAAAACATAATCATTAAAAATTGAAAAAAAAAATCCGTTTTTAAAAATGCAGTGCCATTTCGGTCAAAGTTTAATTTTTGCTATCGAACTAAAAGAGTGAATTATAAATATATTGATTGAGGAGAATTTCTTTTTTACTTATTGATATTAAAGTTAGTAAACATATTTACCATCTTGTAACATTATTTTAAGAAAAAAACATTAAGCTGTATGTCGAAAATACTGCATATTTTTTTCAAATAATTCAAAATTAAATCATTGCTTTTAAAAATTATTTTTCTGATATACACATACATACACGTACACACACAAACAAATATTGTCAGGATATCCTATGTGCTTAATTATGTAACTGAAAAATGTTTTAACGACTACTGTCATTTTTCCATATGTAGGCGATTCTGTAATGTCGTTATGAAGAACAACCTGTTGGTTAAACTAATATTTAATGGAATCTTTAGAGTTTTATTTCAGTCAAAATTTTAGATGTACAACGATTGACTTTGTATATATTTCTGTCTATATTTCTGGTATTATGTACACTATTTACATTATTCGGACTATTGTCCTCATCTTTGTCGCCATATTTATTACAACGTTTCGGCCCTTTAGTATCTGTCTATAATTCTGAGATCATTTATTATGTACACTATTTACATTATTCGGACTATTGTCCTCATCTTTGTCGCCATATTTATTACAATGTTTCGGCCTTTCAGTATCTGTCTATATTTCTGAGATGAGGTATTATGTACACTATTTACAATATTCGGACTATTGTCCTCATCTTTGTCGCCACATTTATTACAACGTTTGGGCCTTTCAGTATCTGTCTATATTTCTGAGATGAGGTATTATGTACACTATTTACATTATTCGGACTATTGTCCTCATCTTTGTCACCATATTTATTACAACGTTTCGGCCTTACAGTATCTGTCTATATTTCTGAGATGAGGTATTATGTACACTATTTACAATATTCGGACTATTGTCCCCATCTTTGTCGCCATATTTATTACAACGTTTCGGCCTTTCAGTATCTGTCTATATTTCTGAGATGAGGTATTATGTATACTACTTACATTATTCGGACTATTGTCCCCATCTTTGTCGCTTGATTAATAAAAATTATTTTCTGACGTTCCTTTATTTCGAGTTCTAATTCCAATAAACCAGCCCCTTGACCAGTGAACTTCCATGTTGTAGCTGTCGGTCAGTTTATTTTTCTTCTACATTTTATGTGACAATTGCCTTCTCATTATTTGAGAGAGAAGTATATCGAGAAAACGTACAGACAGAAAACGAGAAATTTTATTTTGATTAATATTACTTTTTAAACTATTTTATTCTTATATTTTGGCACGCCATATCATTACGTTCGTGTCCACGACTCTCTTTAGCCCAATATACCTGTCAGGCTGTCTCTTCCTCTTACAAACCAGCCGTCATTTTTTACTGGCAGAAAGTTTTTTTTTTTCCCCTTTTGTGCTAAATAAGCACACTGCATATGATCTGTATTGTTTACTTTTATTGTACCCAACAGAAAAATTTCCTGGACTGACTACCTATCAGCGACGGAGAAGAAGAAAGTGATTTAGAGAGACGTCGCAATGTTAGCAGTTTTAGACTCGGTTACAGTGTAACCCGGATATAAGAGACCCGGATATAAGAAAAACCCGGATATAAGAAAAACCCGGATATAAGAGAAACCCGGATATAAGAGACTTCTCCGGTCCCGACAACTCTCTTATATCCGGGTTACACTGTATTTGATATGAAGAAAAAATCCTCACGGAAAGAATTTGGAATAAGATATTCATTATATATGTAAAAATTGGAATAGAAATGAATATAACTTTAAAGACAATAATTATAAAAAGAAATGCCAAAATGATCAAAGTTCAATGTTTTCTTACTATCTTCGGATTAATGTGTGTATGTGTTTAAAATTTCCTATATTTATGGGTGAAGAGTTTCGAATATGAAAAAATAGAACAAATTTGATAAAAACTGTGTGAATGTAGAAATCAACATCGCATGTTGACAGTTTCGCGCGTTTAGAAATGGTTTACGGTTACTTCCGGTGGGAAACGAGAAACTAATGCACCGGAAGTGCGAAATGACCAAGCTCAGTTCTAGTGAGTCCTCTTTGCATATAAGTACATCTTCCATTGTACGAAAAGTTGAAGCCATTTTAGTCGTCGCCGTTTGACGGAACTCGTTGTCGAGTGTTGTGGCGGCACTCATCGACATTTGCTTCTGTGTGAAATGAGTTCTATGTTGAATCTAAAGGGACGTCCGCAGCCATGTTAGGGTAGAGTAGTCCAGGCAATGAAGAACTCTGGTTTTTTTTTTTCTTTGGGATCGTTTAATCTATTTTGTCTTTTGCTGTTTACAAAGGAATGTTTTTCTGCAATTTCTTCTTTCAACGTCAGAAGAAGAAAAATTCTTTGAACCTGAAAGCATTGGCTGTGAATTGTTTGGGGTAGTCGATCGGTCGCCATTCCATAGCACACCGACTTCAGATGACACCATCCACTGCGGTAAGCCAGAGTTTGATAAGCAGGTTCATAGTGACAGCTAGCATCGGATTGCCGACTTATTCTCGTAGGTGGAACGTCACTTTGTAATAACTAATTTTACAACTAGGAAAATGGACATTTTTTGTTACAAATGCTAATCTGCTCATTAAACCTGACTATATGTCATATTCCATTTGAAGAAACAGTTTTTTGGAAATTAGGGGCTTTTATTATTTACATTCGGTTTAAAGTCCTTATCTTTGTTGTTATTATCACAAGACTTCGACCGGATTTGGGCTTTCTTTAGATGCCTGCCGACTCAGATAACCTTCATGGAATTATGAACTGAAGCTTTTATTTTATCGACGTATGTAAATTTTTCTGCTGTACAAGTTTATAGCGATGTCTCGTTTTGTTTTTACTTAGTACGAGTCACTTAGTACTTAGTACTAGTCACTTAGTGCTTAGTAATAGTCACTTAGTACAGAGTACTAGTTACTTAGTACTTAGTACTAGTCACTTAGTACTAGTCACTTAGTACTAGTCACTTAGTACTTAGTACTAGTTGCTTAGTACTTATTACTAGTCACTTAGTACTTAGTATTACTCACTTAGTACTTAGTACTATTCACTTAGTACTTAGTACTATTCACTTAGTACTAGTCACTTAGTACTTATTACTAGCCACTTAGTACTTAGTACTAGTCACATAGTACTTAGTACTAGACACTTAGTACTTAGTACTAGTCACTTAGTACTTAGTACTAGTCACTTAGTACTTAGTACTAGTCACTTATTTTTCAGTCATTGGAACTCAGCTCAGCGATTAACAATTATCCATTACACCACCCGCACATTCAGGGATGACGGTACTTAATATTCCCAAGAGGTTATCAATGTTGATATTGGTCATGCCCGAAGTTGCTTAACTCCATTGTTCGTACAGGAAATGGTATTTCAACATAATGTGGCCGTAAGCCTTGACGATGAGGACAACAGTTCGAATAAGTCAAATAGAAGAAAATTATAATGTTATTGTGAAAAGAAATATTGCGACTGACATTTTCACTTTTGTTATTTCGCTTTTAACGTATTTAACATTTTTTATCCCCATGCAATATTCGTCTTCTTCACTGGTTGAATGGCGAAAATTTGCTTACCACACGAAATGTTTATTTGTTGGGAATGAAAAATGACTTTGGGATGAATTGCGAAGTTCATCCAGCATTTCAGTTCTTTCGACGTCAGGCTTGATCGCTGAATTGAATTGAAATGTTTTGCCATTTGACGTTCATAAATAATGAAGACAAATGGCAATGTGATGAGAAAGACGGCATATCTATCTATCTATCTATCTATCTATCTATCTATCTATCTATCTCACTCTATTCATATCTATCTATCTATCGATCTATCTATCCCAGTCTTTTGTTATCTATCTATCTCTCTATCTATCTAACTATCTATCTATCTATCCCAGTCTTTTGTTATCTATCTATCTATCAATCTATCTATCTATCTATCCCAGCCTTTTGTTATCTATCAATCTATCTATCTGTCTGTTTTTCCCTCTCTATCTATCTATCTATCCCAGTCTTTTGCTATCTATCTATCTATCAATCTATCTATCTATCTATCGCAGTCTGTCCATTATCGATCTATCTATCTACCTATCTCAGTCTTTTGTTATCTATCTATCTATCTATCTATCTATCCCAGCCTTTTGTTATCTATCAATCTGTCACTTTTTCCCTATCTATCTATCTATCTAACTATCTATCTATCTATCTATCTATCTATCTATCTATCCCAGTCTTTTGTTATCTATCTATCTATCTATCTATCTATCTATCTATCTATCTATCTGTCTGCCTTTTGTTATCTATCTATCTATCTATCTATCTATCTATCTATCTATCTATCTATCTATCTGTTTTCTATCTATCTATCTATATATATATATATATATATATATATATATATATATATATATATCAAATATTATTATTATTATTATTATTATTACTATCGAACCTGATAGTTGTAATGCGATGTTTTCGCTGTCGTATATGACATGACAATCCAAAGTATCTAATTTGTATCTGATCGCTTCCCTCCCTCGGCTTGTTTTTTCTTCTTTTTTTTTCTTTTTTTTTTCTTAACGTGTCCAATCATTAAAGAAAAAAAATAATTTCGTGTTTACCCTCTTGCCTCAAGTCTATTTCTACCTTCTTTCTTTTCTTTCCCTCCCTCTCTCCCTCTCTATCTCCCTTCCCCTCTCACTCAGTACCTATCTCCCTTCCCCTCTCTCTCACACTCTATCTCCCGTCTCCTCTCTCTCTCACTCTCTATCTCCCTTCCCCTCTCTATCTCATTCTCTATCTCCCTTCCCCTCTCACTCACTCCCTCTATCTCCCTTCCCCTCACTCTCACACTCTCTCCCTTCCCCTCACTCTCACCTCTATCCCTTCCCTCTCTCTCTCCTCTCTATCTCCCCCCTCTCTCTCCTCTCTATCTCCCTTCACCTCTCTCTCATTCTCTATCTCCCTTCACCTCTCTCTCTCCTCTCTATCTCCTTCCCCTCTCAATCCTCCCTATCTCCCTTCCCCTCACTCTCACACTCTATCTCCCTTCCCCTCTCTCTCTCACTCTCTATCTCCCTTCCCCTCTCTCTCTCTATCTCCCTTCCCCTCTCTCTCACTCTCTATCTCCCTTCACCTCTGTCTCATTCTCTATCTCTCTTCACCTCACTTTCTCACTCTCTATCTCCCTTCCCCTCTCTCTATCCTCTCTATCTCCCTCCCCTCTCTCTCTCTCCTCTCTCTCCCCTTCCCCTCTCTCCTCTCTATCTCCCTTTCCCTCCCTCTCTCTCCTCTCTATCTACCTTCCCCCCTCTCTCTCCTCTCTATCCCCCCCAAAAAAAAATTATTTAAAAAACTTATTTCAAAATGTTATTTTTCTTTCTTCCTCATTTTATATAAAATAATTTTTCCTTTTCTTGTTTCTTTTTTTTTTTTCTGGTTCATTTTCCTTTCGTTTGGAGAATTTGACTTCATTTATTAACGAGGTATCGATCTGAAGAAGTAAATATATTTTTAGGGATTCATGAAATAAATTATAACCGAATGGATTTTTAACGATTATTTGTATTTATTATTATTATTGCTCTGTTCTTACATTGATCTCTCTTTCGATTAATGTCCTCCTTCCAATTGTCCCTACTAATTATCAATTGATATTATTCACACACACACACATATATATATATATATATATATATATATGTATGTATTAAGACATTTTTATGCTTATACGTTCTTTTTATAGATACAAATATTTAAGTAAATGCTCTGTTTTATAATAAACAGTATTAACAACATTTACCGGCCTGAATGTTTGAGAAATTTTCATAGAAAATATGCGTCCTCTGACAGGAATTAAATGTCTTTAATATTGTTTATTATAAACAGAGCATTTACTTAAATATTTGTATCTATAAAAAGAACGTATAAACATAAAAAAAAATGTCTTAAAATAATTGTCGGACTTTGTCCTTTTCTTATATATATATATATATATATATATATATATATATAAGTTACGAAGAACTTGGTAAACCGAATGGGTAATTCAAGGGAGGATGAAATCCTGTGAGCTCAATGTGAATCTAGAGCTAATATTTAATGGAAAAAACAGACCACTTTAAGTACCATTACAATAATTTATTTCAAAAAGGATTTGGGGAAATAAATTGTTGTAATGAAATATAAAAGTGGTCTATTTTTTATATTATATATATATATATATATATATATATATATATATATATATATAGTTAATATATATAAAAGTTATCACTTAGCTGATATATATATATATATATATATATATATATATATATATAGATAGATACAGATCGTTTTGTAAACGAACCTTTGTGTAACTTTTCGGTTCACTCGTCAGGAGATATCATCAAATGTCTACCGATTTTTTATTTTTCGTTATTTGTACATTAAGCTAAAAATAATTTATGACTTTATTTATTAGTGTTAGGCTGATTTTCCTTCTTTGTACCTTTGTGCGTGTTTGTGTGTACGCCTGCACATGTGTGTATGTGCGCATATGTAGGATGTTTGAGTTATTTCTTCTTTTCAAAATTTACTTGTCACTTTTTTACTGAACTTGTTATTCCTTTTTTTTTCATTTCTTTATCTTTCGGTTGTGAGTTTCGAAAGATAATGTTACATTGTTATTTCCAGGGTGAAAGGACGACTTCAAATTAGGTTAATATTCTAGAATATGCTGGGTTTTCTGAATTTTTTCAATATATATAATTGACAGGATATTTTAAGGGGATTTGAAGAATCATATTAAAGTAATTCATCGAGCCTAGAAGAATCCCAACAGAATGCAAAAATCACTGGATGGCCGTTTCGTCCTATATTGGAACTCGTCAGCAGTGCGTATCCACTACCAAGAATCGTCATACCCACTGGACCAACGAGTCGGTGACGAATAGGTAACTAACTAGATTCGATATAGCACTACTCTCACTAAATTCCGAGTATACTTAACCCAAGGACTGTACTCCCAAGAGCCACGTCTTCCTTCCCAAAATCGGCATCGGTTTGGTGGTTTTCCCAGTTCGTCGGGCACGGGGGTCTATCTTGCCGGAAGTAAACAAATGGCTCATGGAAGTTTCGCTGAGAAAACCACTAAGCGAAACTATAGTCGCACGCCCCAAACGTAGGTCCGCGTATATGTATTAATTGATAAATATCTTTTCACTATATAACCACATTGAGCATTATTACGTTTACAACTCATGCAGAAATTTAACGATTATTTATTTGCTTGCCTGTGTATGCACACACGTACACGCCTGCTTATATTTGATCGTTTCACTTATTCACTCAACAAATATATATATATATATAGATAGATAGATAGATAGATAGATAGATAGATAGATAGATGGATTGTTGTGGGTTTGTGACCCTGGGTTTCACAAACTCACATCATATATATATATAAATATATATATATATATATATATATGTGTGTGTGTGTGTGTGTGTGTGTGTGTGTGTGTGTGTATGTAAATGGTGGTACTCGTTTTGAAAAACCTCGTATAGCTCAACTTGCAGTAAACAAACCGGTACCCAAGGAAAAATAGGAAATAAAAAAAAAAAAACCAGAACATCAAAACAAAATTGAAAAAAATCGTCAAATGTTTAAGCTTCAAGTCCAAGAAAAATAACTCCAAATCGAGTAAAAAGACAATGATGAAAGTGGATCGATAAACTAAAATAATCCTAAGGAGCCGGGCAAACCTGCCTGGGTTTCATAAAACGGATCTTCAGGGTAAAAAATTTTTTTATATATATATATATATATATATATATATATATATATATATATATATAATGAAATCAACGATATCATTACATCCCATTGGTAATAATTTATTTCCCGGGATCAGACCCCATTTCTTTAGACCCAAAATTTTACAATAAATGAATGTTAATTTTATTCAGTCACAAACAAAAAAGAGTAGAAAAGAGAAAAAAGGAAAAATGCAAAAAGAAAAATAAAGAAAACGAAAAGGAACCTCTCTATTTTATATACAAGTGGGCAGCTAGGAGACCCAACTTAAACATCCTGTGACTTTTCTCTTTGGGTTTAGTTAAAGTTATATGTTTGTCCAGTCAAGAGTCGTGACTTAACACCCTGTAGCGTTTTTTGTAGCAGAAGGGCTAAAGGAACAAATCTGCTATACCAAAACCAAGATTTGGAAGAACCTGAAGAACAAATACAAATTATGTCTTCCATACCACAAGAATTTCTGGTGAAATATATTGACGTGATTCCTGGGCAGCTCGAGAAGATGGTAACGGAATCTGTTGCTCATATCGAATCTTAAATAAAACCTCATACTAAACTCTTTCCTCTCATATCCATTTCTTGTAAAAATTATAGTTAATAAATAAATTATAAGTATTTTAAAATGGCGAGTTATTTTTCAATCACCCTGTATATCGTCCTCGTCGGCATCACCTGTGTCCAACTTCCGTCTCCACGGTGATTGAACCGGAAATAAGACCAAGTCGGGAATGGGACAGTGTCGGGTATTGATCGCATGATAGTGAGGATGATGGTCTTGGCTAGAGCTGGCGAGTTATATGTTGTCTAGTTTTTACTTGCCCTTCAGTTTTTCTCCTTGATCTATCAATAGTCAGGCCTCTTGAGACCTAGAGGTCAACGCAGGCGTCCCCCCGCCCCCCGTTGTCACATCCCAGATCAACCCTCTTTTTGATCTACATAAATAATTTGCCTAGGAATATACTCAGATCATTTGCAAACATCTCTGCCAATGATACGTCCATCTACAGACCCAGCTCTAAAGCTCGATGGCCAGAGATTGGCAACTGATCTCTCTTCTGATCTTGCACAACCCACCCAATGGGGTAAAAACTGGCTGATTATATTCAATGCCTCGAAGAGCAAGCTATTTCCATTACATCATCACCGATCTGAACCCCAAATACCACCAATCAGGATTAACGGTCCTCCCGAGAAAGCACCGTGCATTAAATCTGTTGGGCCTCAAACTCATACACGGGTTCAAGTGGAACTCTTACATACGTTGCTAAAGATGCAGGAAAAATGGTCGGTTTCTTTGTAACACAACCTCTCCTGACTCCTGCTGTTATGCTTTCACAGGCCGAAAATGGAGTATTGATGTTATATTTGGTTGGGAGCTGCCCAGACCTCACTCTCCAGATTTGATAGTGTTCAAAAGTGTCTCCGAGCCCTTGTGGGTGATGAATTATTCTCCACCCTCCAACCTCTCTCTCTCTCTCTCTCTCTCTCTCTCTCTCTCTCTCTCTCTCTCTCTCACGGGCGGGGTGTGGCAAGCCTTTCGCTGCTCTATCGCTACTTCCACGGTAAATGCTCGCAAGAACTACATTCACTGGCCCCGCCGAAGCAAACATTCACAGCAAGAACGCGCCATGTCATTTGCATAATGGCAAACTACCCATATTCTCTCCGTATTCCATCGGTGAGAAGTAAGTTCCACTCAAGCAGCTACTGTCCACAAATCACTGCCTTGTGAAACCGACACCCAACTGGATGTTTCCCCGATCACTACAATCTTAACCTGTTCAAGGCTAGAGTTAACCGTTAGCTTTCACTCATATACACAGAAATGACCTCCAAACATAACCATCTACCTCGGGTAGCCCCGGGGCCTTCTAAATATTGAACCTCGCTGTAAATAAAATCACACTTTCCATCTTTCCAAATAACTCCCTAGACTACAATCCCCTTGATGTGTGGGGCGCAATTGAGCGAGAGATTAACAAAATTCCTTGTAGCACCAAAGATGAACTGAAGGCAAGGATTATGGCAGCATTCTCCAACTTAAACAAGGAGACTGTTCAGAATACATATATATATATATATATATATATATATTCAACAATTTGAACAAGGCCAGCACGCTCAAGCCCTAGACCACGATGGCTTATGAATTCGTCACAAGGGTTCCGTCTATCCAATTTCACTCGCAAGTCATGGGTCAACCCGTGGTATGGTTTTCAACCCTTTTTTAAAAGTGCCGCACACTGGGATTGACTCCTCCAGGCCGACAACATCAGGAAGTCTCCTTCCTGACAAATCGACTATGGTGAGATTTGAACCCGGGTCTCCTGGTCAGAATTCGAATGTTCTAACCATTCAGCCACGCTAAATAACACGCTCTTTCCTAGAAACTGCAACTAAGGTCTGCTCCGCATAGTTTCAGTATAAACCACAGGTGGGTTTTGTGCGTGTTGAATAAACACAAATGTGCCTGAGCAAGCGTCTGCAATAGGGTTTGGCTAGCCACCATTTTTAGACGGATATCTTCGAATACGAGTGGCCAGCTATACATACATACATACGTATATACATATATATATATATATATATATATATATATATATATATAATATATATATATAAGTGAAAATTGAAGTCAACACTTAGAGGTGACAGGCTGTTTCATGATAGATGTAATCGTGGCCTGACGATTGTATCTAGCATGAAACGGCCTTTCACCTCTAAGTGTTTTCTTCCTTTATATTTTACACTCTCTATCTCTGATATTGAGCACTTTATCCCATAAATATAGCACACCTTTATATATATATATATATATATATATATATATATATATATATATATATATATATTGAAGCATGTTTCATTAAATAATATGGAGAAGTTTTTTCTATTTAATTTAAGTAAGTTCCTTTCATATTGCCGTTAGTCGTTGCTTTGAAATTTTTCATGCAACAAAAACAGACTATCATTAGTGTTCCATGTATTGATTGATATATTGAAAAGTAATTGTCATCTTTGATAATGGCTTATGTAAGCCGAAAGCTTAGATTGGATTTAAACATGTACCAATATGGTGATTTTCTTTAGTCCTTCAATGATAATGTTATTAAACTTATTAGACAATATGAAAGGAACTTACTTAAAATAAATAGAAAAAACTTGTCTATATTATTTAATAAACATACCAAAAAAAAAATTGATATATATATATATATATATATATATATATATATATATATATATATATATATATATATATATATAAAGAAAAGAAAGAAAGAACAGTAAGATAATATAATCCGGTGTTTCTTATAGATATTTTTTTTTTTGTTTTTTACAAAAATTAACTGATTTACAATATGGTTTGTTCGCTTCACAGTTCTAACCATGTTTCAAAAAATGGAAGCTAAAAGATTCAATTTAGTTTTGTAATTAAATTAAAGACATTTTTCCATTTCATTCTCAAGCATTTTGAATTTTATATATATATATATATATATATATATATATATATATGTGTGTGTGTGTGTGTGTGTGTGTGTGTGTGTGTGTGTGTGTGTGTGTGTGTGTGTACACAGAATGAAGAGAGTTACTTATGGTTTTTTTCGCTACACAGTTCTAACCATGTTTCAAAAATAGAAGCTAAAAAGCTTCAATTTAATTTTATAATTAAATTAAAGACATTATTTCCATTTCATCCTGAAGCGAATTTTTTGGAGTGTATATATATATATATATATATATATATATATATATATATATATATATATATATATAGAGAGAGAGAGTTACTTATTTTAACAAACTTTGTGATTCCGATGTAAAATTTTCGCGCAAATGCGTGAACATCAATATTGTGAACGTTTCTATCTCTTCTTAAGCTATGATATCGAATGTGTCAAAGAAGAATAGGTGAAATTAAGTTCGTAACTTATTCAATTAAAATCCGCCTGTCTCGCCATGAAGACGTTGAATATTTAGCCGAGAGCTGGAAAGTCTTGGCTGATGTCAAAGAGAAAAGAAACAATTACTCGCCAACTGAGACGAGGGACAATCTCGATAACTCATTAATCAGGTCAACTGAAAAATGTAGCAAGATGTGAAATTGTCTGCAACCATTTCTGAATCAATAAGGTGAAATGAGGCCGTGTTGTCTGCAAACATTGCGAACGCGTCTTGTCGACGATACGAATGACGTTGTCAGTCATAAATGGCATCTAGAGTCGATTAATGGAAGAAACAGAATTTTACTTTATTTTTCTTTCATCTTTTTTTGCCTTTATTGCTGTTTATATGTCAGATTGGTTTATTTTTTCGCAATATTTTCCATCCAGATGTCTTCGTTTCTAGCGTTCTTTTTCTTTCTTTCTCAGCTGATATTTTCTTTTTATGATGCACCATTTTGTATTTCGCTTGCTTATCTTTTTTCTTTTCACTGCTTTTGATTTTATCAAATTGTTGTTTCATTCTTTGTTTCATTCTTTCTAACTTACTTGAAATCGACACTTTTAAAACTCGCTTCTGATATAAAATTACCAAATTCCATTCTTTCTTTCTACTCTAGATAGGTACTTTTATAATTCGTATCTAATATAAAATTACAAAATTCATGTCTTTCTAAGTTACAGTTACTCTAAATCGACTCTTTTAAAAAGCGTTTCTAATATAAAAAAAATTACAAAATTCCTTTCTCTCTAAGTTTCTCTAAGTAGCCAATTTTATAAAGCGTTTCTAATATGCAATTACCAAATTCCTTTCTAAGTTGCTCTAAATAGATACTATTATAAAGTGTTTCTAATAAAAAATTACCAAACTCGTTTCTCTCTAAGTTCCTCTAAATAGCCACTTTTTTAAAACGTTTCTAATATGCACTTACCAAATTCCTTTCTAAAGTGATCTAAATAGCCACTTTTATAAAGCGTTTCTAATAAAAAATTACCAAATTCCTTTCTCTCTAAGTTGCTCTAAATAGCTACTTTATAAAGCGTTTCTAAAATGCAATTAACAAATTCATTTCTAAGTGGCTCTAAATAGCCACTTTTATAAAGCCTTTCTAATAAAAAATTTATCAAATTCCTTTTCTCTACTTTCCTCTAAATAGCCACTTTCATAAAGAATTTCTAATATGCAATTACCAAATTCCTTTCTAAAGTGCTCTAAATAGCCTCTTTTAACAAGCGTTTCTAAAAAAAAAAATTCCAAATTCCTTTCTCTCTGAGTTTCTCTAAGTAGCCACTTTATAAAGCGTTTCTACTATGCATTTACCAAATTCCTTTCTCTCTCCGTTGCTCTAAATAGCCACTTTTATAAAGCGTTTCTAATAAAAAATTACCAAATTCCTTTCTCTCTACGTTGCTCTAAATAACCCACTTTTATAAAGCGTTTCTAATAAAAATTACCAAATTCCTTTCTCTCTACGTTTGCTCTAAATAGCCACTTTTTATAAAGCGTTTCTAATAAAAATTACCAAATTCCTTTCTCTCTACGTTGCTCTAAATAGCCACTTTTATAAAGCGTTTCTAATAAAAAATTACAAATTCCTTTCTCTCTCCGTTGCTCTAAATAGCCACTTTTATAAAGCGTTTCTAATAAAAATTACCAAATTCCTTTCTCTCTCCGTTGCTCTAAATAGCCACTTTTATAAAGCGTTTCTAATAAAAAATACCAAATTCCTTTCTTTCCCCGTTGCTCTAAATAGCCACTTTTATAAAGCGTTTCTAATAAAAAATTACCAAATTCCTTTCTCTCTCCGTTGCTCTAAATAGCCACTTTTATAAAGCGTTTCTAATAAAAAATTACCAAATTCCTTTCTCTCTACGTTGCTCTAAATAGCCACTTTTATAAAGCGTTTCTAATAAAAATTACAAATTCCTTTCTCTCTCCGTTGCTCTAAATAGCCACTTTTTAAAAAGCGTTTCTAATAAAAAATTACCAAATTCCTTTCTCTCCATTCTCCCAAATAGCCACTTTCATAAAGCGTTTCTAATAAAAATTACCAAATTCCTTTCTCTCTACGTTGCTCTAAATAGCCACTTTTATAAAGCGTTTCTAATAAAAATTACAAATTCCTTTCTCTCTACGTTGCTCTAAATAGCCACTTTTATAAAGCGTTTCTAATAAAAATTATCAAATTCCTTTCTCTCTACGTTGCTCTAAATAGCCACTTTTATAAAGCGTTTCTAATAAAAATTACCAAATTCCTTTCTCTCTCCGTTGCTCTAAATAGCCACTTTTATAAAGCGTTTTCTAATAAAAAATTACCAAATTCCTTTCTCTCTACGTTGCTCTAAATAGCCACTTTATAAAGCGTTTCTAATAAAAAAAAATTTTCAAATTCCTTTCTCTCTACGTTGCTCTAAATAACCACTTTTATAAAGCGTTTCTAATAAAAAATTACCAAATTCCATTTCTCTACGTTGCTCTAAATAGCCACTTTTTATAAAAGCGTTTCTAATAAAAAATTACGAAATTCCTTTTCTTTCTCCGTTGCTCCTAAATAGCCACTTTTATAAAGCGTTTCTAATAAAAATTACCAAATTCCTTTCTCTCACCGTTGCTC